CTTAACTCGGATCTCTCTTGACCATTGAAGCTCATTTTCTGTGAAAGAAAGCGATTGTACTCCGATGACGGCATTTTTTGTACATATGTAATCTAGGAACTCGCTCTTCAGTTCGCATAGCTACCTGATACAAGGAGACTACGGGGCATTATTACTTGTATAGGTGTAACGCATTGGCCTTCCTAACCCTTTCTTCCACATTAGACCTCCACGTCAACTTACTATCAATAATAACTCCTTGATACGAGTATTTGGTAAATGGTTTAGAATTTAGCGTAAAATTTCCTATTTTGGATAGCGGCTAGGATGGAAAGAAGTACAAGGTCTGTATTTTCTATATTTATTTCGAGCCTGCGCTCTTATTCAGCTGTGAATGTATCTAAATCGTCCACACACAAACAATCCCTCAATTGAGACGAAATAAAAAGCTCTCGATATGTCGAGAATTTCTTCTAAAAAGGCCAACCTTTTCAATGGAAACCTTCAGTGTTGCCTATACGCAAAATAGATGGCGCAGTCCTGAATTTAAATTATTTATTATCAAAATCCATGCATTCGAATTTTATACGAAACATTTTCGGGAGACTTGTTTTTGATGTTCTCTTTTACAAGTTTGCTTATTATAAACGCAAGGCCATAGAAAAAACAGTAGAGCAACAAGAAGTTTAGCACAGCGTTATGAGGGGCTCGCTGCACTGCTCGTTGGAGTGGACAGTAAAAAAAACAAAACACAAGTCATATGAGCTGCCATCGTTTAAAATTTAACGGCTGCAATTTGAGCGAGGGTAGGTACATATTTGAATAAATGTAAACACTTGTATGTATGTAAGTATGTCTCACTGCACTTTTTCTTGTGGCAGTTCAATGCGACTTGACAATATTTATACCAGTTTATAATTACTTGAAATTTTTTTCACTCACTCATTTGCTGCAAAATCCATTGATGCAGCCGTTGTTGTGATTATTTTCATTTTGTCTCGTTGTTGTTGTTGTTGCCATTGCTGTAGTTAAAGCTATTATTGCTGTGCATTTTGCCTATTCGTTTGTGAAATCTCAGCTTACAAAAGCATATTAAATTTATTTTATAATGAATTGAATACAAGCAGACACGCACACATAGCAGCAAGAAAAAAATGCATAAATGTGTGCGCATTCATACATACTCGTATGTACATTCTATGTTGCAGCAACAAATTTTGCGACAGCAAACATTTCAGAAAAACAAAAAGTAAGAGCTATCTGCAGGCGCATGGCATGCAATGCATACCACTGCAGCAGCTTCCCCACCCAACCTCAGACTTCTTTCGCTTGCATCTGTATAGATTAAGTATTCCAAAATCTAAAGCTTTAGCCCGCAAGCTCAGGCCAGAGTGTACGGATTGTCGCCTGCCAGTTATAGCTGGCGTTGGGTGCTGCTAGTCTGCCTGAAAGACTAAGACGATCGCATGTGAGCTTCGTTTATAGAAATTCGATAGTGTTTTGGATGCGTACTTGTGACCCGAGGATTTATGTTGCAAGGCGCAAAATGACACATACGTGCACATATGCACATGCATACGTGCATATGTGAGTATAGCTAGAGTTAGCATTTTCGCCACAATCACATTACCAGGCAATGGGTATAGGAAATGAAATATGTACTATAATAAATATGCCGCATTTCATCCACCCCTTCCACAACACCAACAATTCTTATTGTTGATCTTGTCCTACCTACTTCTTTGGTATTTTTATATGGCCGCTGCGCTGGTAGCATCTACTACGCCTTTTGGCAATTCGATTACAAAGCAACAACAACAATAACAACTGGCAATGAATAATAACAAATGCACATACACATACATATGCAACACTCTGAAAACCATATCACATGCAACAAACAGCCAAAGGCATGATTACAACAACAACAGCGCAAGCATGGAAAGTAGTTAAATAAGCAACAGCAACAGCAACAGCAAAACTGTCATTACCCTGATATTTGATATGCGCTCTCTGGTTTTGACTGCAACTCGGCAAGGCTGCCTGGCAGGCTGGTAGGGCGGTAGGCTGTTAGTGGATCCGGCGAAAAGTGGCCGGTAGGAAAGGAGTAAATTGACAAGAGTGCAGGAATGAGTATAAATCTCATTTTACGTGCATACATACATATACGTTTGTGTTTGTAGATGTGCATATACTGTATGTAAGTATCTTGATATCAGAGACTGCAATCGGCATGAAATTGTACATATGTATGTACATATGTGTAGGCAAAACGCATGTAAAGGATATTAGGTTGCATGTTACGAGGCGACAATTTGCAACGAATTTTTAGTGAAAAATATCAAGTAAAATTTGATTAATTAAATAATAGAAGAAATAACTGCAGTGGTATAAAAAAAAATCATTTAATTGGAAGTTTTAGTTCGACCTTTGATTTGTAGTTAATATCATATTCAAAAATGTACCTATACCTAGAAATGCGGCTGGATTATTTGGAATAGAGTAAAACCGAGTACCCAATCCATTTCAATGTCTCTGTTTTCCTTGCACTAATTGCTATTTTATCTATGTTTTTCCCTAATTCAGGCGATTTGAGCGTCTAAGGGTCAATTTCAGAGTGCGTAATTAACTCAGAATACCTCTAGTACATATAATAAAAATTCTACAACGTTTTCAATCTCCTAATTTTATCAAGAAAAAATATTGTTTTGAAATGGTTACATAGATCTGTCTTTAAAGTTGTGGTAAAAAGCTATTTTAAAATGGAAAAATTTACTTAAAAGTTTATTTTTATTTTTTTGAAAAAGCAAACTATTTTTCTTTCTTAATGCACCTCAATCGCTTAACAAATAACTCGGAAGATAATTCTTTAATGCGAGACGTTTTGTGAATATGTTTTTTTTATGAATAAGTTGATAATTTCAGGGTGTTAAACGAAATTCAAATTATTTGACCATAACTACAATCTATATATATACAAGTAAGCTGCACGAGTATGTTAGTATCGGAAGAGTACGTCATTAATTAACACTTCTGACGATTACCACTATACGAAAGAAGCATAGTTATACAGGGTGACAATAAATAACCGGTACAAAGTTTAGCATGCGCTGCCACAAATTTATTACACGATAAACAAATTATTTTTTGCAGTTTTTTTGGCTATAACATCAAAACGCGATTTTAACTAAATTCGAGGGTATCCATGATACATAGGTCGTTCGTGAGACCGGGATCAATCGTGAATCGGTGCGGCGAATAGCTCAAAAGAGCCTACACCTCAAGGCGTATAAATTCCAAAAAGTTCAGCTCCTCTCGGAAGAAAACAAGAGCTTGCAACTGCAAAAATAACGATGGGAGCACATTCTCTTTACCCACGAGAAGCTGTTCACCGTGGAACAGCCGCACAACCATCAAACCTGGTACCTCAGCCATTGTCGAATGCCGTAAAAATACGCACTCGGTTATGGCCTGGGTGGAATTTGGGCCAGCTGCAAGACTCCCCTGGTTTTCGCGGCTCAAGGACGCAAAATCAACCAAGAGGAGTACCGCCGCGATATTTTCGAGTCCGCGGCGCTTCCGTGGGCGAAGCACCACTTCGGCGATATGGAATGAACGCTTCAATAAGACTCTGCACCGGCCCGCAAAGCGAGAATAACGCAGAACTGGTGCAGATTTCAACTCGTCTGCCGCTTGTCCACCCTACTCCCCGGATCTTAACCCAATGGACTACAGTGCGTAGTCGATTTTCGAGGCCAGAGCATGGCTAAGGACCACAAACACACGAGGCACTAACACAATCTCTCCGTCAAGAATGGGACCAATGGTCTTCAAAAAATCTGCGGTCAATTGTAGAAAATTTTAAATCACGTTTGGCATTCGACGCAAAGGGGTCGCTTTGCAATCGGCTAAATATGTTGTTACTAAATGTCCATGTTACTGCTATTTAGACATAATTTTTGTTTTTTTGATGAATTGTTTCCGTCTAAAATTTTTATGATAAAAAAGGCTAGTACTCTTTATTTATTTTCACCCTGTACATAGTATGTATGTACATTAGACTTCATCACCAAAAAAGTTGCGGTTTTTCCAACGGGACTGCAAAATCTATTATATTTGAAGATGTGCACCAAAATATTTCGCAAAAATATTAAGATTTACGGGAGCTGGGCCAATTTAAAAATACCTCAAAAAATGAGTTTTTTATGCATAAAAATAGTCTCTTGAAGAACTTTTTGAAAAAAGCCCCCTCAGATGAAAAAAACAGATTAGGCTTAAAAAATCTGCATGCAAATATTTAAAAACGTGTCAACGGAATCGTAATTATGAGATTTTTGATGCTGTTTTTTACATTTTTCAAAGTTTGATTTACGAAACTATGCTGATTTAGACTTATGGGGTATTTTCCCACTATTTTTATTCCTGTGCAAAAAAAAGTCATTCATGTGACAATTGTTTTTTTCAAATACCAACACACCTTAATTCAACTCGGATTGACGCTCGTTCATCCTCCCTTTCTCTTTCATACCTTGAATGAGTTTATTAGCAAAGAAATAAAAAGAGCGAGAAAATACCTTTCCAATGATGCCTCAGAAGTCTAAATCGGAATAGTTTAGGTTCAGTTATTCAAGTTTTTCTTATGCCATTCTTTGAAAAAAGTTAGAAAACAGCATAAAAAATCTCATTATTACGATTCCGTTTAAAATTTTTTTTAAATATTTTTATGCAAATTTTTTAAGCTTAAACCGTTTTGTCATTTGAGGGGATTTTTTTTATCGTTAAGAAACTATTTTTATTCATATTTTCAAATCGGTCCAGCTCACGTAAATCTTGATATTTTTCCGAAATATTTTGGTGGTCGTCCTAAAATATAATAGGTTTTATAATTCCCATGGAAACGCAGTAACGATTTTTTTTTTGTATAGAGAGTGATGCAGTATAATATATGTACATACAGATGTACGTACACATAAAGATTCACTATGTATTAAAATTTGAACATCATTCCTACACTCACTCACCTTTATCTCATCGCTGGGCAGCTCCTTTTTTATTTTAACCGCTTGCATATCTGTTGGGCTGTTGTCTGCTGCGTTCGAATTCGAACTTGTTGCTATTGTTGTTAGTTTAGTTGTTGTTGTTGTTGTTGTTGTTGCGGTATTTGGCGCTTGTTCAGCCACTGTTGTAGTTTTTATTTTAATAAATTCAACACTATCGGGTGCAGATTTTTTGGACATACTTTTTTTAAGGCAATTAAAAAATTCCAATACAATTTTTCAAACGAAAAATGCTTAATTTTTTCGGGTAAACACTTCACTGGAGACACTATTTAATTAACATTTCTATTACTGAAAGGAAAAAACAAAAATTAATAAACTAAAATTTTAAATGAGTTCACGATGGATATGCAAGTATGTTTCAAACAGAATTCTAGCCACATATACTTTGTAGATTAAATGTACATTTCTTGTTTTGATTGAATATTTTGAATTTTTATTTTCAAGTTAAATTTGCCAAGGCATTCTAAACTGTAGTGCAATGGTTATATAAAACCATATATGTACACGCACATATGTACATATACCTATGTATGCAGGCACACACTTAGTTGCAGATAAACCCCTGAGCAACGTATCTTTTTACACATTGATTTGCGTGCATTTGTTTTATGTCTGCCTTCCCGTCAACTTTTTGGTAATTTAATACTTTCGTTGAAATGTTACCAAGTATCGAGTGACACTTCGCAGCGCTTGGAGAACATTAAAAATTTCCGAATAAATGGCATGCAATAGAAGAATTGTCGACGACGAAGTTGGCAAAGTTAAAAATTAAAAACAAAAAATGTATTTACAGATGAAAATGATTCACACACAGAAAGTATGTATGTATGTACATATGTACGTACATAAGTACATCCATATGTCCCCACGAGAATGTATATTTTTGCTATTTTATTTTATTTAATACCATTTACTTTGTCTTATATATTTTATTTTTATTTTCTTTGAGTTTGTTTGTTTTAATTATTTTACTTTATTTTGCATTCATCGATTTGATTTACTAATTTATTTCATTCATTTGATTTTTCTTTTAAATCTACTCTTTATTTTCCACTTTTGTTTTTTGTTATTTACACAAATTCAAAATGCAATTCAAATTCAAATCGGTTCTCTCATTTTAGGCACAGAAAAAAATTTTTCATTGCTGATATTTTCCATATTTCACAGCACGCACGCTGCTTTTAATCCAAAAATAGCATTCTTTTTGATTTGTGCATACATAGGTACCTATTTATTTAAAGAAAACGAAGAACGAAAGCACACAAAATAAAAGAAAATATTTCACTCGCACTTAAATAATTCACTTTGTTATTTTATTAGTTAATTTTTGCAATTTTAAATTATTATAACCTTTTAAAACACTCAACTGTAGTACATATGCATGTATGTATGTATTTTTATATATGTATGCACATAAAAGTATATATATATACATAGGAGATTAATTAAAATCACTCGTTCACCCGCCAGATTCAGTGGCCAACCGTACACGCTCACGTTTCGCTTACAAATAAGCCTTTCGCGCCACATTCTAGTTGTTTTGCTCCAAAGTACGAGTATGTTCCTGCAGATATTTCACTTGTACATGCCGAGTGAGCCATTCGGTTGCATGCGCATTTTACTCACTCATTCAAGCATTTTATGTGAGTGAGAAATTCACCCTTGCATTCTCTTATCTTAGCTACAACAAAAGCATGTCAAGAGAGTTTTATTTATTTTTAACTTTTCGTTACGTTTCATTTTGCAATTTACTTACATATTTTATTTTATCTTTTTGTTCCGCTGTTCTTTCTTTCTTGCATTTTGGCTTTATAATGAAATTGAAATCAGTAATGAAAACGAAAGCAAATTGAGAAGAAACTTAAAATCATATAAAAAAGAAAATTTATTTCTCTCGTGTATGCATTTACCTTTAAATATTTTAGTAGTTTTAAAAATAGTATTAGGGGAATCGTAGGAGGGAGGGGAGAATGCATGGCGACATGCATAGATTAATTTTCAGTTGGTTGGCCAACGTGGGGCATGTTTTGTACGTACATATGTACATATGTAGATATGTATGTTTGTATGTATGTCTTTAAGTAGATATGTATGTTGGCAAATGCCTTTCGGTTTTGTTAGTTAAAAGTTGATAGAGGCCTTTGTTGCTTCAAATATGTATTATTAATAAAAGTAAATATGTACATACGCAATGCTAAAATGCTTTTGATACTTAATTTATACAATATACATTTGTATGGAAGTATGTACGTATATCCATATAACTTCACATTCGATATAAAATACCATTCACAAGGAATATTAAATTATACAATTTATTTATTTGTTGCTTTGTCAATCGGCGTCCGGCTGAAAATCCTTCTATTTCCATATCAAATTGCACATTTGCATATCGACCATTTAATTAAGTGTTGTTCGTGGAAAATAAACAAAATCAAAGGAGATATACATACATATTAAATCAAAAAAATAATAATAAAGCTCATACACATATGTACATAAGATATTATGCCAAATGCGAAAAAAAATTTTTGTTTGAAAAATGCAAATTTTTTGTTTCCTAAAGTTCCAAAAACAACTTATTTATTACTGCAAATTGCATTGGACAACATGCCATCAGCAGCTTTTCTTACTGCCAAATTGTTGCAAGTAGAAATTTTTCTAATAAGAACTAGCAATTTCTGAATGCAAAGCAGGGTGGCCCAAAAACGCATGTGAAAGAGTAAAGTCGAAATTTTTATGTTCTCACCCCCTAGGATTGTTCTATACCGAAAAAATATATCTCTATTTTTTATTTTGAAATCAAAAAATATTTAGAGGTCGCTCAACGCGCTCAAAGTTTTCCATGTATTTTATACGTGGAAAAAAACAACTTTTCGTAGAAATGATATAGAATTCTTAAAAATCAATATTATTCTATCGGAAAACTCTGTTTATCGCAACTATAATACATAGGTCCGCCGAAAACCCCGAAAAACGTAATGGAGGACCAATAAAAAATCGTTCGTATTAAAAAATGGTTAAATAAACAATTGGGTATTATTATTGAAAGTCTCCTGAAGACCAGAGTTCCGATCTACATACATAACTAGCACCACATAAATCAACATTTCCAATTTCGTACAAAAATTATAAAAATTAAATAAATTTTAGCTACACCCACAAATTTTAAACATTTTCTTAAAAGTTAAAAAAATTATGTATGCAGTTTTATAGTCCAATAAATTTTAGTAGGTGAAAGTGCAAATTCAAGACGCTAGAAAATCGCGTTGATTTTTAATAACTTTTTTGTTGGCGGTGCTAGGCATTTTCTTCCATATAAAAGCAATTGTTGGAATACATACTTTATATGGAAATGCAACGCGATTTTCTACCGTCTTGCAACTTGTACTTTAGCTTACTAAAATTTAATGGAACATAAAACTGCATACCTGAAATGTTTCTAAAAATTTGTAATAAAAAATTTAAATTTTTGGATAAAATTTTTTAAGTTTCTTGGATTTCTATAATTTGTGGACGAAGTTTAAAATGTACATTTATGTGGCGCTGGTTATGTACCGTTTTAGACTTATATAAAAAAAAAATACAAACATAAAATAGATAAAATATTTGTGTATAACACGAAAATGACAGAGTCGCCGTTTTCTGCAGCCAACTTTATTACCTAACACCCTGTCAAAATCGGATTTTGCAACCGCTCAGCGTTGACGCCGCGTTGTTTCGGTATGCTTTATACAAATTTTATGGGCATGAGATTTTTTTGACAGCAGACAACGCTGACGCTTTTGTTTAGGTATGTCAGTAACTGGCGTCCCTAAATTGGAGCTCTAAGCGTTGCGTCCCCATCTCATCCATTGCCCATCCGATGCTTTGTTGAATTTCTTCACTGGAAGGGGTTTTTACGTGGCGGGTCTCAAACCCAGTGCTTAACCCATTGCTGGGACAAAAGCGAATTTTGTGCATTGTGGGCTGAATGCTGTCCGCCCCGTTTGCTACATCCTTTGCTTACAGTTTTTCTTAAAAAAAAACCCAAACCAAAAGATGATTCTTTTATTTTCTTTTGATTAAATAACTTCTTTTTTTTCCTCTTATTCTCAGCCAATGAAGAATAACCCCCTTATTCTAGAATCGCATGCTGCAACCCTTGCGGAAACATGTACAGCATTGCCAGCTATCAGTTGTTTTTCGAAGATAGCTGAATGAAGGAAAACAAAGTGGAAAGGAGTTAAAAAAGCCCTCATCATGTGCTTGTTTATTGTAAAATTGGTTAATTTTACATATTTTGAGGAAAATTATGGATTCTGATGTATGTATTTGCAATTATAGCAGCAGAGTAAGCGGGCGCTATGGCAATGGATTCACAAAGTTATGCGGAGCTGTCGGGCATAGTAACCATGGGCGCATCTATGTCAGCTTCTAGTTGAATTGTTGAACCACAAGCCAGAACTCCTCCTATGCCTGAAGCTCTGGTTCTCAATCCAGTTAATGCAATAACAGCTTCTTCCAAGCCATTGAAAACATGCACTTTGTTAGGTCCACCACCTGTTGCACTTGCTTCTGCCTTCGGCCGCGCTTAGGGACTATAACCTTTACTAAGTAGAATTCTACTTTCTGTGTTGCGGGGAAGAGGGGCTTCCGCATGTCAAAGGTAGACAACATTTCTCGTGCATATCACTCCGGCTACGCCGTCCACAGTATTTTTGCGCAGAACCCACGTCGAAATTTGCAAAAAAGTGCATAGTGCAAACCGAGTTTATTAATAAGCTAGTGGTAGGAAATTTGAAACATTTATCTTAAATAAAATGTTAATCCTTTTATTACACGGGTATGTTACAAGTTTTTGGATTCGGGTTATGCGTTTGGACACAACAAGCGAAAATCGTTGTACATTAACTAAACCGGACCCAAGTTTCTCGATAAGGGGCAACAAATATTCTTTTTTGCTCATTTATACAAAGCAGTGGATAAAAATATACGTATATGCGAAAGGCAAATTTATCTGTTTAAATGAACACCACCAATATTTCTTGCAAACACACATCGATTTACATCTTTTATTTCGCCTCCGACACAGAATTGTTTTCGTAAAAAATTACGCAAAAAAGCTTACTCGTTCGTTTTTAGGCATGCCATTGTTACGAATTTCGAAAGTTCGAAAATACGATTCGGATTGCAGCATACTATTTCTACGATTCGTAGCAAAATCCGAATACGAAAGAGTTGCAGAATAGGGGTGTAAATCCCAAATGGCATATTCAATTTGATAAAAGATGACTTCCATCAAAGCACATAAAACGTAGATTTATTTATAATATGGTGTTCACATGAGGCGATTTTACAGGCAACTTTTAGTTGAAACCAAAAATCGCCTGGTGTGAACGTCCTTTCAACTAATCCCGGGTTGGCTTTACATTACATTGGTTTTTGGGTGTTTTTACAAAACTTTTACGAATTTTGTCATGAAACTTGGCGGGGATGTTAAGAATCGTATACACTCTAAAAAGTGCATGTAAAACTACTACTGAAAAGTGTTTATTTTTCAACCAGAATCTGTTCAAGTATACGCACAAGATGTTCAAGATTTGATTTTGAACATGAGTTGTTTAAAATATACACATGAAATGTTTAAAATTACAAACATTTTGAAAGTAAAAGTATATTTTTCACAAATAATAAATATTAAGTGCCAGGGGCGCATGCAGGAATATATTTTTGGGGGGAAAGGGTTTATACTTCTAAATATATATCATCAGCAAATACTGAAAATTCGCTCTTTAAAATACATTTATGAAAGTTTTATTTACAGTATGAAATAAATAAATAAATTTTTTAAAGTATCATCAATTGCATTTTATTTACATAAAATTTACAAAGAACTCATTCTATTTAAAACCGGCTTCAAAAATGGGGAGGTTATCAATTATTCGTGAACCGATTCCAATAATTCTTTGTTTTACCGGAAAGATGGTACCTTAAGGGTCGTCTCGTAATTTGGTTTAGATCCGATCATTGAGTCATGAAAAAATTAACGGTTAAAGATGCACTTAACTTTCAAAAGTAATACAAAATTTTACAAAAGAATTTTGATATAAATAAATTAAATAATTTCACGAAATTTTTACACTTTTTTATTCATTTTCGTCGATTTCTGGTTTCTCATTTTTTTATACTTCGAATAACGAAAATTTAACTGAACTTGTATTTTTATCATGTAGCTCATTTTGGTGGAACGAATTCGAAGTAAGAAAATTAAATATTCGAATGCTTATTAAGTACATATCAGTGGTAAACTTTTTTAGGCTGTAAAGTCTAAAAACCATCAGTAAGTGAGTATGCATTGCATATTTTTAGGACAATGTTTTCATTCGCAGTTAAACTTTAAAGAGCTCTCAAGAAAAAGAAAAATTCTTACAAAATGACGCACAAGAATGGAATGAAGAAATTTTTTCCATCAAAATTTCTTATATCATAATAAATTTAGCCACAAAACCCACCCCTTGTGTGCGGTACGTGACAAATTTGGTATGTAAATGTAAACAGACAGGGTTTAATTTTGCACACACTAGGAGAGGAAACTAGTTACCTCTTTTTATATGCGTAAATTTAAACGAAAATTTTTTAGACGAAATTTTAAACATTTTATGTGTAAACTTCGAAAATGTGATCAATAAATCTTTAAAACTCAAAAAAAAAAATTTGAAATTTGTTCTACGCCACACATATGATAAGTAAAAGTAAGCAATCAGTGTTTAGATTTGCATTCATTAAGAGAGGAAACTGGTTACCTATCTTAATATGCACAAATTTAAACAAAAATTTTTTAGAGTGTATATTTACATTATTTATACCTCTTTTGACTTTATTAGTAATAGTATTTAACTAATTTGTTGATAATTATTTGCAGTTTCACTAGCAAATTTTCACATAAAAAGAGCACTTAACACTTATATTTTGATACCATCTTTGCAATGTTCACATGTATTTTGTATACATTAAATGTATGTATTTGTTTTTTTTTTTGTTAACAATATAAAACACGTTTAATAACTTCACTACTTGTCTTCAAAAAAGTACACAAGTAAACAAATCAAAATGGCTGTAATGGTGAATAGAAAGAAGCTACCAGATGTTCGAAAATGAAATCGGTACACTTAACAGAAGGGACATTCAACAATCTACTTCTGTTTCATAATGATCTCGATAATATAAGGGAATAAATGAGTACAAAAAAACAAAACTTTGATAAATAATTAAAAATTTTAATAAAAAATTGCGTGATTTTATGCAAATCAATTGTTTTTATAAAAATCAATACTTCGATAAGTAATGAAAAGTTTTTATAAAAATCACGCGATTTTTTATTCAAAGTTTTCGCCTGCCGCACTTCATAAAAATTGATACTTCGACAAATAATGAAAACTTTTAATAAAAATAACGCTATTTTTATTAAAAATTTTCGCCTACGGCACTAAAAAAAACAATAGTTCGATAAATTATAAATTTTTTTTATACAAATTCGCGCTATTTTTCTCTTACTTTTTGTATTAAAATCGATAATTCGATAAGTAATGAACATTTTTATTAAAATCAATACTTTGCCTGCGACTCTTTTTTTGTAAAATAAAATTCAATATAAAGTGAAAATTTTCAATAAAAAATCCGCGACTTTAGTTTAGTATTCTCATCATCTGGCAGCACCAGCATCTGTGTTCATTTCCAACACTTCCATGTAATCAAAAAAATTTGTATGGTGAATTGTGAATATTTAAAATTTAATAACTTTTTAAATACAAGCCTCCGCGCTCTGAGGTTTTCGCTTTTAGAATCGGAAAAAGCTCCTCTACACGCCATCATTTTTATTTTTTTTCCCCTAATCCCTTCCAATGAAGTTCGGGTGCAGCCAACTTTTGATTCAACTAATCGCCTCTAAAATTGCCTGGAAATCTCCACATGTGAACACCATATAGCCGAAATTTTATATTCGAATAGCCATTAGAAAAAGTCGAAAAGAAGCGGTTAGTCGATTAAGTGAAGTCGTCTATTTTCGCAAGACTCTTGGATAATCGATTAATTTATTAACAGCTGATGAAAAGTAAAGAAAAAGCGTAGCACAACAAAAGGAAAACAGCTGTTTTTGGAGGTATGTAGATAAGAGATGCACAAACTCGAAGCTTTTGAAATCCTGTTCATATTTTCTAATGAAAACAATGACTAAATTGGCAAAAACGGCTTTAAATTTGAAGCAGGTATTTATGCATATATTTACACGAAAAAAATATCACATCTTACCATGTGACAAATTTTCCCGCAGTTTATGCTGCGCCAAGAGGTGCTGAAGTTGTATCGCGAAATTTTCCGTACTATAAGGCTTGTTCCCGACAAAACCAACCAGCGGGAATTACGTGATTGGGCACGCCACGACTTTCGGACGCATAGTGGCCAGACAGATGAATTGGCTATCAAAATGATGATTCAATATGGACGACGTAGCCTTACTGAGCTGCAGACGAGTTTGGATTTGAGCGGAGCTGGCAAGGGGAAGACTGCGAATGTAGTATCAAACGATAGTGAGAAATCCAATAAGAAAAATATAACAAATAATTTGGAAAATTAGTTAATAAAAGCGGTGAAAGAACTTTTGGAGATGAATGGGTCCGGGCCATTTGAATAAATACTAAGCAATTGCTTTTTCTAAAAAGTTTCAGACTTTTTACTCGATTTATTCAAACAAGATTGAAGTAAAAGGGCTGAAATTTTAAGAAGCAATTGCTTAGTTTTTATTCATACGGCAAAATATTTGTATCCATATAATTGAAACGAAACTCATAGATTGAATACATGTTCGTTTATTTGCATGTTTGTGCATATTATTTGGTAATTCAGCAGTTCCGATTTAGTGCCATATGCGACAACCCACAAAAGTTTCTAATCTAACTTATGTATGGATTATTACTTGTACGTAATTCAACGTGCGTACATTACACGAAAATGTTAACTAGATTTAATGCACGCTACTTGCACCTGCAACTACATCTTTTATAATCAAAGTTTACAGCGTTTTGCTAATTAATTATTACGGAGCTTACGTCCGTTTGGTAGAAAAATTATAAATTATAAAATTTATAACCTTAGCAAACAATTATCCGGCTTAGCTTAAAATTCGTTTTAAAAATAAATATTTAGAGTACGATTTAAGTTAAGAAAAGAGCACCTGATCTTTTACTAATATATATACCGCATCAAACTCATCCATAGAACTTTCAATAACGCTGAGCCAAAAAGCAATGTGCCAGTACTAGCAACTAACAGTGCTATGAAATCGCGCTTTGGACGTTCTGCGATGCGTTGGACTAGAAAACTATGCACAATAGTGCTTGTAATGTGATAGCCATCGAGACCAAAGCATGGAATGGCGTTTAAAAGCGCCTGCCCAAAGCTGAAGATCACATTATATTTGAGGAAGAGAGCGTAGGTATCACCCCATTGTGGAGATATATAGGACTGCCGAGGCACAAATGGTGAAATTCGCACAGTACTAGAGACATCAGCTGGATGCCCAATGTAGATTACGTCCCGCAGTTTTTTGGATGGGCTATTAGCGCTGCGTGTTGTGCGTTTAAACGTTAAAATCGTGGTTGTGTTGCGCAATAAGGGACGTAAACAGAAGCCACTTTGGCAAAAATTACCTTCATTTGAACTGCTGCTTTTGCTGTTGATACCGCTGCAGAAGCCATGAGAATCTTCGAGGGTGCGTCGAACGTCCAGGCAAACATGTTGGGGTATTTGTGCATGTTCTGCTGCATCTGTTAGGTCTACAGTTTCTAAATTATTTAGACTTTCTGATACTGATTCGAAGCAGCACAGTTTCTCATTGCGCTCATCACAACATTGAAGCATGCCATCCGCACTGTGATGTGATATTTCGATGCTTTCGTCATTGTAACGTATAAAATCGTGCGAAACACAGTATCCAAGGCGTGTGCCACGTATTGAGCGTTGAAGACATTCATACCAATCCGACTCTGTATTTACTTCACAGTCGTTTATTTGCGAAACAACATCACCAACCATAAGACCTTTTCCGGACGAACCAAGCAGTGGTGATTTACGCGACATTTCTGTTATAACAACGCCATGATCAATAGTATAAAATGGCGCCGCTGCATAGGTTAACGTAGACAGAAGAATATAGCAAAAGCAAGCGAAGATGAAGTTATGCCAAATACCAGCGCATATTATTCGTAATTTTTTGAACCATTTCAATGCATTGAGATGCTCTGTTGAGATCTCCGTATAGGCAAACGGCAAACAAAGATATAACTAAAAGAAACACAAATTAATAATAATGATTTCTAGCCAGAACAGCAAAGATTACCTGTAAGCCAAAACCAATAACTGGTATATCCTCTTGCACCGCTGCTATGGCATGCCCGAATTCATGCACCATTGTGCACAATAGGAGGGTTAACGCATAGTAACCAACCTCCTCTAGCGGCAAATTCACACCAGGTAATAGTATTTGAACTTTTGGTGCGTTTTGTATTAGCACACTGTTTTGAGAGTTTTCCCTGTTTACGCCACCTCCTACAGGCGAAATGCCATTGTGTGGTGCGCTGTTATTTTCTTCATTAAATATTGTTATGAACAATAAAATAATTCCAATTGGTAGCAATGATAATGCCACTAAAACGCCGACCGTGTAAGTGCGCGTCAACCACACTCGCATCCAACCGCTGTTGTTTCCCCATCGCAGCATAGCACGATTGAACGCGGTTGTATGCCAGCGTATACGCATGAACTGCACCGTCAAGCCCGTATTTTTCAGAAATATCTCATAGGGATAGTGCATACAGCTCTATGGAAAATTTACCATATTAATTTGTTTATGAATAGTGCAAAGTGCAGCCGGAAGTGTCTCACCTTGAACAAGCGATCAATGAAAAAACAAACACCATACAGCACCACTATCACGCACAGGAAAATCCAGGGGTCCATTTCCGAATATTTCGTTTACTTCTGTTCAATTGTTCTGCTTCGCACAATTTATTTATATGGTTTTAGTTCCACCATTATAATAAATTGTTATACTATCGCTTATTTTCACGTTGCCTGCAAATGCAAATAATTTCTTTGCTGGTGTGCACAAGTTTTGATTTTCTCGTTTTGTTTTGATGACAAGGTTGACAGATTTGAGTGTTTGTCAAGAAGATTAGCAAAACAAAACAAAGAAATACATTCAATTTATTGGATTTGAGCTGATCAGTTTATTGTAAAAATTCAGCAAGCAAAAATTTTTTTTTTGTTTCAATTGACCCAAGGGCGTATCAATTGACTACGCCTTGAATTGACCACTTTTCAACGTTTTGTACATACATATGTACATATTTGTGTATTCTGCTTTATTGTATTAAATTCGCTGGTAAATTAAAAATCTGATTTAATTTGTTTACCCAGCAACGCTGACTATTTTCTCTTTGATTTCACTCAGGACTCCACTGAGGAATGTGTTATAAAAACATGAACCACATATACAAATATAAACATTGAAATATTAAATTGACGAAGAAAGAGAGTCATTGCGGAGGAGTTCATAACGACCGTATGCATTATGTTTTTATCAGCGTTGAGCCTCCATCTTCCCGCTGCCCCATTCAGTTGCGGATAAACACGTAATGTGCAAACTTTTCGTAAACACATAAACTCATTTTTCGGGAAATGAGTCATGTCGTATTGAGGCCATGAATCGGTGCACGTAAAACTAGCAATGAAAGCGAGTAACATTGCATTCCAGCAGTGGCAGTAGCTAAGGGAAGATTGATTGTTCTCAAAGTGTATCGCACTCTTATATTTTTACATAGATATTCGTGCAGTGCAAAAACCATTTATAAATTCTTTTGTTACATTTTCAATCCAATCCAAGACATAACAAAACTCTTTAACAATGTTCGACTTCAATTTACAATTTGCCCGTGGAGGTGCCAACGTTACTGTAGAATTATTCGAACTGTTGACAGCAGGAGGCGTCAAGCAGAACATAGTTTTCTCTCCTTTCTCCATACAAACTTGTGCTGCTTTGGCTTTTGCCGGTGCTAGCGGTGAAACGGCTGATCAAATCGCTGAAGGACTGAAATTCGCTTCGAATTTTCATCCCGAAGTTGCTGAAACCTTCCAACACGTTTTTGAAAAATATAAGGATAGTGAGTTGCTCAAAATTGCGAACAAAGTGTACGTTCAGGAAGGGCAACAGTTCAAACCCGATTACGAAGTGGCACTGAAAGAGAGTTATAACGCAGAGGCAGAAAACTTGAATTTCGCGGAAAGTGAAAGTGCCGCTGCTGCCATAAATTCTTGGGTGGAGGACAAAACTGCTGGCCAAATTAAAGACCTTGTGTCCGCTTCGGCCATTAATGAATTAACACGTCTTGTGTTGTTGAATGCTCTACACTTCAAGGGTTCATGGGCGCATAAATTCGATGAAGAACAAACTGCTGAAGACGACTTTTGGGTATCCGAAGAAGAATCAATTAAACTGCCATACATGAATCAGAAGGCGAAATTCGGCTATGGCTTCTTTGAGGAATTGAACTGTCAGGCGCTCGAAATGCCGTACAACAATTCGGATCTCTCCATGCTAGTGCTGCTGCCTAATGAACGCGAAGGCTTGAAATCTCTTGCCGAGAAGCTGAAGTCAGTAAATTTGGTCGATTTAGCAGGGAATCTTGATTACAGCGAGGACGTTGTAGTTCAGTTCCCCAAATTTAAGGTGGAATTCGAAGTGGAACTGACCGAAACTTTGAAAAAGGTGAAGATATAGGATTAACCATTTACATAACATTTCCATTTCCTTCATATCATGAGCTTTGTGTTGAGCCACTATCGCTATGGTAACTTGTGTTAGCTGTCGTTTTGGGGTCATAACGTAAATGTTGAAGTGATTAAAAGCCCAGAATGTTAAAATACTTTAAAAATAACAAATTGGTCACTAGAAGTATTTCTTATCATTCCGTTAACTTATCACCCAAATGCCAAATTTTTTATATACGATTTGGCTAAACTAAGCTGTTGGACGTAATTGCTTGTTTTATCTATACAATTGCTACTGGCGGCACAATAAAAACTAGCGGTAGTGAACTGCTGCGTGCACATTTATTGCTTGCTGCAAGATCGCAATCTATCTTTTTTTATTGCTACATACATTTTATTTTTATTGATTTAATCTTCGCTTTTAGCTTGGAATAAGCAAAATTTTCAGCGAAGAGGCTGAGTTTAACAACATGCTGGAGTCGCCCGAGGGTCTTCAAGTATCCAATGTATTCCACAAAGCTGTTATAGAAGTGAACGAAGAGGGCACTGAGGCAGCTGCTGCAACAGGTAAATTATGGGTTTATTCAACCTAATATGGCTTTCAATTTTAAATGTTCTTATAGCGATGATAATGATGGCGCGTTGCATGCTCATGCCACTGCAATTCACAGCAGACCGTCCATTTTTCTATGCAATTTGGAATAAGAGGAACATTCTTTTTGCTGGTGCCTTTGTTAACGCACCAACAGCTTAATTTGTTTACATTAGAAGCACAGAAAGTATTTTTATACCCACTATTTATACATACATATATATGTACTTATTTATGTATTAAGTAAATATTTTCTAAAAATTTGAAAAATTGATTTGTTTTATTTGTCTTTTAATGTATATATTAGGTAAGTGATTCAATGTTGTTGTCAACGCTCCTTAGCCCTGCCTAAATCAGCTAATATTTCAATTGTTGTGGGGAAGGATGCTAGAGTCCTGGCCAGATATGAATCTGGCTTGTTCCTGTTACGTAGAGCCGACTGTCGTGGGATCGTTTTCTTCAAGCTCAACAAACGGTACTCCCAGCAAACTTGGTATTTCGACAGGGACGGAGCAAATGTAGTGGAAAGGCGTTGATTGGGTAGGCTTAGGGAAGTGCCATGCGGGGAACTTTCAAATGCAGAACATACATTTGGTACGTTAGGGAGTCTGGATAAGTAGGAATTTACGCGTTTAGAATATCCAAACCGTAATATTTCTGACCGAGTAATACGAGAAAGCTGAAACTCTGCCTCTGCAACCTCAAAGAGGAAATTCAGGGTCTCACCCAATGGTACTCCCGTTTAATCCTTCTTGATCCTGACGTTTTATTTTGAGAAGGTACTAACGGCCGTCGACCACTCTAATAATTCGCAATCCACCTTTTGAGTTCCTGTTGTAAAGACGGTGCTTTTGATGCCTTCTAATATGCAGCGTGAAGTGACAGAGTCGAAGTCTTTACCACTTTACTATGGCGGTGTAATAATTGTAAGCGCTAGTTTACACATACATATCTTATTTATGAATAGTTTTATTTCTCAGGATTTAAAATAATTGAGTGGTCTAATCGTATACCCATAGAAAGTTATTTTTATAATTTAGTACAGAAAAGTCTACAATTACAGCATTACAAGTTACGATACTTAAATACATTAACTTGAAAGCCATTTATGGAATGAGTTTCGTGACATGGATATGCACTGGTTATGCGTTAAATATGATAATAACAAAGAAAATTAGAAATAAAATATATAGAAAAATGGATCCGAAACATTAACGATTATAAAGAGTGCAAAGAGGTTCGTCGATTTCTATATCAACTCCTCTACATTTTCAAAAATAATGTAATTGGGCAATGGTCACTGCCCATTACCTGTGAGCGCATACAGTTCTCAACTACTCGTTTAGTGAAACGTTCAGACACGATAAAGTAATCCAAACGCCATCCAACGTTGCGTGACCGTGCGTTTGCCATGTAAGTCCAATATGTGTAAGCAGCTGTGCGATCTGGATATAAGTGCCTAAATGTATCGACGAAGCCGAGAGCTAACAATTCAGTCATTTTGTCCCGTTCCTCCTGCGTGAACCCGGCATTACGAGTATTAGTTTTAGGGTTTGCCAGGTCAATTGCCTGATGTGACACGTTCATATCGCCACATATGACGACTGGCTTTATGATATCCAAACGTTTAATATACTCTTGGAATAGTTTTTCCCAGCGCATGCGTGCCTCCAAATTAACTAACTTTCGTCCCGAATTCGGTACATATACATTAATTAAGAAGAACTTCTCATATTCAGCTGTAATTATGCGGCCAACTGCATCAAACTCTGTGTTTCCAATGCCATATTCAACGTTAATCGGCATTATCTTCGAGTATATAGCAACACCTGCATAGCCACCGGGCATGCAGAGCCAATAGGGGTGATAACCAGGTATGCGTGCAACTTCCTCCGGCAGTTGATCGGTAGTGCATTTGATTTCCTGTGGTTCGAAAAAAAAACTTGATGAAAACAAAAGCTGAAATGATCTGTGACTAACCTGTAAGCAAAAAATATCTGGTAATTCGTAATCCAAGAAAGCTAAGCCGTCTTTCTTCAACCAAGAACGCAAGCCCGCAACATTCCAGCTTGAGATTTTTAAATTAAATCGCTCTGCGCCCTCTTCACCTTGGGGTAGTTTAAAGTCTTCGGAATTATATTTTGTGACGGTGGAATTGATGAGAGCGCCTTCGGTTTTCTTTGCTTTTGCCGCTAATTATGATAGAAAAAAATTACTTTATGTTTTAAACAGGAATCATCGGGGCTATTGTTGATTCCATCGCAGGTGTGGTTGTCGTGAAATCTACGAAAATCTTATCGCTGAATCAGAAAAGCGNTGACGGTGGAATTGATGAGAGCGCCTTCGGTTTTCTTTGCTTTTGCCGCTAATTATGATAGAAAAAAAAACTTTATTTTTTAAACAGGAATCATCGGGGCTATTGTTGATTCCATCGCAGGTGTGGTTGTCGTGAAATCTACGAAAATCTTATCGCTGAATCAGAAAAGCGTACCAGTTTATACCTTCATACCTAGCAGCTCTCCTCTGGATTCAACAATGGCAAGCACGGCAAAGCAGCCAAGTATTCATACTCACGTTTGGATCCATCGACCTCTTCAATACCATCGGAAATAGCAGTTTTTGTGGCACCTCGCTTGCGCCCCTGTGGTTTCTTGCTTATTTCTTTTATATCTATAAAGAACGCCAAACAAGTATTCTATTAACTAAACCACTATACATTTATAAGAATAAAATTATGTATGATACGAACAATTACAAATAAGATGATCAGTGTAAATAGAAAAATATGAGCATACATATCGCTCGTTTAATAATATAACGACGTATTTCAAAATTACAAAATTTGTGTGCAGTTAAAGTTTTATAATTTCATACAGTTGGTACACAAAAAGACATGAGGAAAGACGCATATCTTCGCCATTGTTGGGAAGTTTGGNCCGCCAAACAAGTATTCTATTAACTAAACCACTATACATTTATAAGAATAAAATTATGTATGATATGAACAATTACAAATAAGATGTAAACATAAAAATATGAGCATACATATCGCTCGTTTAATAATATAACGACGTATTTCAAAATTACCTTTTTTGGGTGCAGTTAAAGTTTTATAATTTCATACAGTTGGTACAAAAAAAGACATGAGGAAAGACGCATATCTTCGCCATTGTTGGGAAGTTTGGTTATCTGTTAGACTGAAAATATTCTACCTATCAAGCTTATTAATTGCGTAATGAAATCTTCCGAAGACGTTAATTTTAAGTTACATCTCTATATTATTATACGTGCGATATATGCGTATAAATATAGAAAATATTTATATATTTGCCCACTTACTATTCTCCAATTGTNAGAAGACGTTAATTTTAAGTTACATCTCTATATTATTATACGTGCGATATATGCGTGTAAATATAGAAAATATTTATATATTTGCCCACTTACTATTCTCCAATTGTTCCCCGGCCTCCTTTTCGGGTGTTTTATCTGCTCTTGCCCTAATTTTGGTTGCCTTTGTTTTATTTTCTTTAGGTTCCTTTTTAGACTTTTCTGTAAAAAATATATATAAAAGCATAAAAATACTTTACCACATTAAAGTGGCAAGAAATTTCGTGTTACTTTTGGGACTTGGTTTCACTTCTTCCTCAGCTTTTACATCCAATTCAAGTTCATTAGCCTGAGCTAAGTTTTCTATTTCTGACTCTTTTTTATTGCCTTTGCGCTTANGCATAAAAATACTTTACCACATTAAAGTGGCAAGAAATTTCGTGTTACTTTTGGGACTTGGTTTTACTTCTTCCTCAGCTTTTACATCCAATTCAAGTTCATTAGCCTGAGCTAAGTTTTCTATTTCTGACTCTTTTTTATTGCCTTTGCGCTTACTTGCAGCTTTTTTAACCGGCTTTTCCAAAGATTTTTCTAGTATCTCGCTAGGTTGATCCTGCTCATGTTCTTCTTTTACAGCTCTACCCCTAGACCTTGGTTTCTTTTCGTCCAAACCTGGCCCTGTACCATCACTTGCGTCAGTTTGTTCTACTTTCACCTTCGATCCCTTAGTTCTTTTCTTTTTTGTGTCTTTTACGGCCTCTTTTGGAACTTCGCCGTTTTGTTGATCCTCAGCTACTGCAATTTCTTCCGTAGATTTATTTTGCTTTCGCAGAGTGGTAGGCTCCTCCGTAAGCGATTGTATTGCAGTAGTCTCTTTAATAGCTGTGGCGGCTGTAGCTGCAACTTTTTTACCCCGGCCTTTCAAAATTAAAAAAAATGTTTTGTATGTATTTCATCCTTCTTAAAATATTCAAATTCTACTGCTGTGTGGAAGATCGACCTACCTCGGCAGTCAGTTCCAAAACGCCCTATCTCATAAAACTTTTGAAGTACGCCCTATTTCAGAATTTGGTTGAAGAATGCTTTATTTCAGAATTCGTTTCAAAAACGCCCTATCTCAGCTGCCGATACAAAAACGCTTTATATCAGCACATTTTCAATACATTTTCCACTCAGCAGTCGATTTATAATTATTTACAAATGTACATACCTCGTCCCTTGTTAACCGTCGCCGGCGGAGCACTATCAACACCATTACTTTCACTTGCGGCTGGTTCAACCTTCGTAGCTGCTGCTTTGCGCCCACGCTTTGCTGGTGCTTTTGCTACCCCACTTTCCGCATCCCAATTCTCCGCTGCCACCGGTTGGCTATCAACCGTAGCGGATTCAGCCGCTTTCCTTCCGCGACGTTTGGGTGCTGCCGATTTTTTCTCTATTACAGCTTCTTCTACGGAATTTGAAGTTGTAGCTTGTTCTTTCTCTTCTGCAGCTACGACTTTTTTTCGCCCTCGGCCCGTACCACCAGCTTTTGCCACCTTGACTGATTTTTCCGTTGCCGGCAAGACCTCCACTTCTTTGACCACTTCCCTTTTGGCCTTACGACCACGTCCTTTTCCTTTGAGAGAAACAACAGCATCTTCCTCGCCACTCAAGAAACCACTAGACGACGAGACAACCGCTTCTTCGTTAGCATTTTCCAAAGATTTTTGCCCTCCCGCCGGCTTTGCAAATTTTGCCATTGTTGTTTCACTTCGCAAGAATTCTACTGGCAAAATATGTGGAAACTTAACTTGCTTTCTGCTTATAGAGTTTTCTAGTTCAGATTTATAGATTTTCGTCGAAAATTTAAAATTTGGCCAAGCAAATTTGCACTTTGCTGTGGTGTGAAAACTTTTTGTCCGCGAAGGATGAAAAATGCCGCACAGGAGGCGCGAAAACGACAGACTTGCTGTCAAATGCTTCTTCTTTTCGAGCATTCAGGCAAAATTTAAATAAGTATTCAAAATAAGAGAATTGTACGCATACCCCAGCAAGAACACTATCGGGAAAGTACATGTGTCATAACGAGAGTTATACCTTGGGCGCCTGTCACATGCTCATTATTAAATGACAATCCCTCTGTATCAAAATATTTATTGAAATCTGTATCGCAATATTTATTGAGGGAATATGATTAGATCGTGATCCGTCAATAAATATTGAGCGCATAGCGTACAATGAAACAAATAAGCGGATAAAGCATTTCATTTATTTTTATGTAGTTTGTGCCTATTTAATGGAAAAGAATATCGAAGTCGAGTGTGTAGTGACGGTAGGTTAGGTTAGGTTATTCTAGGGGACCCTACAAAATTTGCAGTCGCCTACTTGCTGCTGCCCTATTTATGGCCACCCTGCTTATAAGGCCATTCTGTGACGTAAATTGGTATGAGCACATAGCCATCAATATGAATCGTGTTCCAAGTATCACAATATATGTATATTGAACGTGTGACAGGCGTTTATTGTAGCAGCTGGCACTGGCCAAGGCGTATTTAACAAGGTGGTGTTGGCCGTATATAAGTAAAAAATTACACTAACAAATTATACGCTGATGTCCATACTGTCATTGGCATGAGTTACAACAAACACATCATTTTGACGTAATGGCCTCCACGGCGAAAAACTCAGCTGTCGCCCCAACACCACCTTGTTTAATACACCTTGGCACTGGCGTTACTCGCGCTCAAAGCGAATTTATACAAGGTGCTGTTACTGGCGAATTTAGAATTTCGCCGCGGTACTTCCCAATGTCAATTCGCCAGTAACACCACCTTGTATAAATTCGCCTTGCTCCATAGTGTGCGCTTACATCATGAACGAACGAATAAAGATCACCCAGCACGGCGTGCGAGAAAAAAGTTATTTTTTTGCAGTGACGTCATTTTTTCGCCGCCATGTGAATGAAACGGAATGAAACCTGTGTGTGAATGAAAGAACCGATTAAAAAATGACGTCATCAACTATTATTTTTTTTCTCAAATGCAATTACAAATACACGGTTGCCGTGCTGGGTGATCTTGTTAGTTGGTTCATGCGCTTACATGCGTTTGTCAGTTGTCATTTCGATAAGTTTATGCAGCATCCATACACATTTTTATACATATTTATAAAGAAAATACATATCAAGCCGCAAATATTCTCTATGGCCGTGGTTACGTCACCGTGCAGTTGTTGTTGTGCACAGCACGGCAATTTTTCAGGGTGGCAATGCGCTATTTTGCGAAAAAGTATTAGCATTAAATATTAGAATAGTTAAAAAATATTTTTTTTTATTTTTATTATAAAGTAGATATTATAAAAAGTATTATTATAAAAATTAAATAATATTAAAGAAACAAAAAAATAATAAGTTGTTCTTCCATTTTTCATTAAATGAATTAATTGAATTTTGATGCGTTGTTAGTTGCATTTTTACCTCAGTGCTGCCATTGTGTGCGAAATTGTATGAAATGGAAAAAGGCATTTCNTTAAAGAAACAAAAAATAATAAGTTGTTCTTCCATTTTTCATTAAATTAATTAATTGAATTTTGATGCGTTGTTAGTTGCATTTTTACCATTGTGTGCGAAATTGTATGAAATGGAAAAAGGCATTTCTTAAGAAGCATCCCTGTGTTTGCGAATCAGCAAACAGAGCGTAACCAATTCTCACCAATTACCGACATTTTTCTCTTTTGATTTCCAATTAAAATTAGTGGCATAAACACGGTCTATCAAAATATGTATTGTATATGTATTTACATATGTATACCCAAACAAGTAGTGTCCCAACAAACATTTAGGTTTGAGCTCAACTTAAGGTTAAGTTGAGAACTAAGGCATTTCTCAACTTGAACTCCAATGTAATTCTCCAATTGGCCTCAAACATATCATTGAAATACTGGAATTGAAATAGTAAAATACCTTGCACCTTTTTGATTGAAACGATATACATAAATATATGAATTTAAATATTAATTTTTCATTTTATTACTCCTTACGCGCGTACTTATGGAGTTTATCCCATAAGAACCTATGTATACAACTTATGTAGCTGTCAAATGCACGCATACGTATACGTACGCATACACTTGCCTATGCAGTTCCAGCTTTACTCGCCCTTTCGTCCATACTTACCCTTCATCATATCCAACGACCCAAAGGGCTTGGAATATTTATTAAAAAATAGCACCGGCTATTCAATCAAAGGTCAATTGCTAACCACAGTGGCATGAAAACGCAATTAACCAACTTTTACTACGCCATTCAATGCACTCATTGAGTGCAATTGGCCGCCGCCACTGAAACGAGTAGTGCACATTTTAAATTAACCAACAAGTCAAAAGTACTCCAAGGCATGGCGTATTGTAAAACCCAAAAACAAAATATAAAAAATTTACTAATACACTCACTGCATCCGCGGAATTTGCAGCAGCTGCCGCCAACATCGCAGCGCTCCCTCATTCCGAGTTCATTTGTGCCACTGTAGTAGCCATTATTGATTTTCGTAACAAGTATTGCGCTGATTTTAGCCATCAAATTTCCAACCAGCACGCTTATTTAAATGACACCCCCCTCGCCTACCCTTCTCTCGGGCGACCAGATGCCAGTCCTCAAACGAAGGTCAGTTGTAGAAAAACCTTATAAAAATGGGTTGCAAAGCTCGATGCTGCACGACGCGATGGTCAGCAGCCAAGGTGAGTGGTTAATAATGAGTATGAACAAGTTACTTCTCGCTATTATTGGCTTTGAAATTGACAGGCTCGTTAATGTCAAGCAAATATGTAAGTGCTTGGCGTTTTGCAGTTGAGCGTGTAGCAGTTTGTTAACGGGATTAATAATGTAGGAAGCAAGATTATTGGTGTTCAAGCCCCTTAAGTGCTTTTTAATTGTTTGTAGACTCAAAACGGCATCCAAAGTGGATGGTCGTTCAAGGTAAGTGATATATATGTATACCAATATGGGTACCAAATCAAGATTTTTTTTTTTAAGTTTAAGAAAATGAAACACTTTTTGGTCGCAAGAACGAATAGATATTGAAAAAGTCATTTTAATTATTTTATTTTTTTTTAAGCTAATAAATAAAGTTATAAGGACGAAATTCGAGATAAAATTTTAAAAGAACATTTTCGATACTTATTCGTCGTTTAGCACTAAAAAATTAACAGGGCTGTTCACGATCATGCGCATGTGTTCTTGCATGCCATGGTAGCAAGCATAAAATTTGCAAACGAAATTCCAAATGCAAGTTCAAGACCATTTCCACAATATCCTGAACAGCTCTAAAATTTCTCAATTGTTATGCCAAATTGCACTATATTTTTAAATAGTTTATTGCATTTATCATGATTTATTGAATTAATAATATCTTTGAAATATCAGTAATTTTCCTATATTTCGCCCCCCCCCCCTAGTTTCGCGAGTATTAAAATTTGTTTGTGTATAAAATTTAGTGTCGCATGGTGCAGTACACGTACAGTACAGGTACGGGCATGGCAGCAGAATTTCCCGAATGCTTATTGACTAACTAATAGAATAGAACTCTAATGTAATTCAAATACTTCTTTTGTTCATGACATCAATAAATAGGCAACAATGAAATTCCTGATCTCAACGCATTCAGTTTGAATAGCCATAAGAATTTAATTCATAACTTATGCAACAATCTTTGGAAAAGTAGCTGCAGATTGCGCCACCGACAACCAACAACTCATTGACCGGGCTATCCGCTGCCTACTTGTATACTAAGCTATGTGAATATATAAATAATGCTGCCGTTACAGCGGAAGGATGCCACTGCAGCTGGATTGCATATTTATTGCTTTTCCACTTGACTAGCCATCGAAACGAGTATTAAATTGCATTCCGCGCGCATTACATTCGAGCAGCGAGAATTTCTTTCCTTAATAAACTCACACTCTTGCGTTCGTCACACGCACATGCATAGTAAAGCGATCGGTAAATAAATCGGTATAGCGAATGATGCAATTTTCTTTAGCAACAAATATCTGCGCAGGAATTTCAAATAACCGATAATAGTTATAAAAATAATAATAAGAAGTTTATGCTCAATTTTACACTTGGCTACTGTTGTCGCCGCTTATGTACACATTTTTTGAAGCCATTGACAATTTATTGAATACGCGGAAGATTGGCCGGCAAACGAAATCAAGGCCAACTGTGGACGCGTAATTTCAGCCGACTTGAGCAACGTTGTGATGAACGTTGTGTGAACATTTTTGGCAGAGGATTTGTGTATCTGTAACTGTGTATGTATGTAACTTCGCTAGATAGCTCCGGGAAGAGTGGTAGTAGTTATATCATATAAGTAAGTACATCGTTAGGCATACATACACTAATAAATCTGTACATATGTTGTAATTGATCCTACTTGCTTATGGGTAGGCAGCATGAAGTCGGGCCGAGGTAACAATGACAAAAAGTTATATCTTGCAACGTTTGGTTGAGCTGCACGGCATTGGAGATGCGTGCTTATGTAAGTATATATGTATATACACATGTACTTTCAATTAAGCCATACCAAGCCATTACACAAATGTATGTATGTACAGCTTATCAATATTAAATAATTCCTATTGAGAATCAATTAAATGGCTTCGTTAAAAAATTAATTCCCATCATGCGGTCGCAGGGTTGCTATTAAACTGCTACTATCACTGCTGGCGCTGAATCTGCTTCTACTGTACATACATACAAAGTTGCCCATTTGCCATGGGGTAGCGTGTTCACTGATATCATTCTCCACTCACAAGCCTCATCATGTTGAATCGAATTTATTGACCAGAAAAGTGCGATTAAAAAAGCGCGTGCCATAGCGAGAAGAAAAAAACCCCAACTGAATTCAATTTAATAAAAATTCGAAATAATAAAAATTCACTTCGAAAAAGCTACGCAGTAATTAAGAGGCGTGCGGTGCGGCCAGCTGATACAATCG